CTTGGCCATTGAAGTGCAATTAGCTGTCTGCTAATTACATAGTCCGAGCGGATGCGAAGTCTCTGGCCAAGAAGTGATGGCATGAGGCTCTCCTGCCACGCCCCTCGCCCCATCGCCCTATCGCCCCATCGAGTTGCCTGCCATTGTGGCTTCTGTATTCTGTCAGACTCGTATATTTTGCACTTCGCACGGCGCACTCATAATGAAATTATGAAGCCAACGTGCACCAATTTCATATTGTGGCTGGCACTCCATCCTCGAAGCTTCCGACCTGCCACCTCGCTCCCCTTTTTCCGCTCCTCAGCGCCCGGTGAACTTTCCTAATTGAGTTTCATGCGGCCAGGACGGGGCAGGATAGTAAAACCATGCCGGGACTGCAGTCGCGTTTAATTGCATTGGCAAGAGGAGCGCGGTCCTCAAAAGCCAGCGCCAGCATCTGAGGAAAACGCCAGCAGGTTGACAATGAACATGGCCAAAAGGGGAGCTTTGGGAAGAAGGGGGTGCAGAGGTGGAGAATATGGCTTGGGGTGAAACGCCGACAAGTGTTGCCTACTTACTCGCGTCTCGCTTCGCGGGCAGTCAAAAAGGGCATAAACAATCCTGAACAAAGCCAGCAAGATGGAAAAACAGACTCTGTAGTAACTCAACTGCACACTGGGAAAACAAATTTAAGATTTAAGTTCATGGTGCTGCCACTAATGAAAATATTTCTTATACTTGGTTTTAATAAAAAACATTGCACTAATAAAACCTGGTTTGAAATTGCAATTTCTAATGCTATTTATTATTCTCATTATATTATCAAGTATAGCTTTTGTAATAAATTTATTAATTTGCAACTCAGTGACCCAAATTTCTCAACCTTATTTCTGAGCGAAATAATTTCCCCTGTTCACTTGAGTTCACTGCAGCCATTGCTCGATATCCTTGATGGGAGATTAGTGTTTTCTGGCTGGAAGGCCAGGCGCCTACTTAAAAACTCCAGACAACCCGCTGAAATTTATTGCCAGCCAACGAACAGTTAGTTGGCCATTTTTGGCTGCTGGCAGTGGAGTTGGCCTGCAGTTGGAGTTGGCGAAAAGCTTTTAAACATTTCAACATTTCTCACTCCCGCTTAATGACTGCCGGGCAGGACATTAAACGCTTGTTGGCCGCATTAGGATTTCCGTAATGCAGTTGGCAGAGCGAGCCGAGCAGCACTTCAACTCAGTCACCCAACCCCCCAACCTACCTCCTTCTACCCCCCTCAACCCCCTCTACCCACCACCATATATCCATTTACCCAGTTGGATGCGAGTTGCAGCTGCGAAATTCACTCAGAAGAGCTTTTCATTCGCAAGTGTTGCCCGAAAGTATGCAACGAGTTGTGCCAACAATGAAATTTGACTGGCAAAACTCCCAAGGACGCCCCCATTCATCCACCACCCACCACTCCCCACCGGAAAGTGAGGGGCGTGGCGTCGCCTTTCAGTGCGAAAAACGGTAAGAGCCTTGGCCACAGCATCCGATTGAGCAGAGCTGCGATAATGGAGACATCTGCTCAACAATTTTAAGGGGATCCTGACTGGGTGGCGGGTGAGATTATTTAATGAGGAGCTCAAGCGAAACTTTGCGAAATTCGAGGCAAAAGCCAGGGGGAATTTACCATGTTGGAGGTGAACCAAAAGTCAAGGATTGGTCATAAATTCAGCTCAAATATGGGAAGTAGGGATTATTATGGATATTCATGCAGCATTACTTATAGGATTAAAATGTTTTTTAACTATAATAATTTATAATATTAAAAAGTATACAACGTTTTAGTTTTTCTATACAAAATTTGCAATCAATGGCAAACCAAAGCGGAAACAGAAAAATTTCCATAGACAAAATTGGTATTTATCGAATTTCGAATGATGGTGATTGGGGAAAATGGCGAGCGATATTCGAAAGTGAACCTAATTGGCTGTCATTCGTTGACATTAGCTAAATTTAGCTCCCCCCATGTGACTTTCCACTGGGACGTCCTGACACCACCCCACCATATCTCTCCATTCAGACTGCCACCATATAGTTATGCTCTAATTAGACCGCACAACCACACCCACGCAAACACACAAAGTCAGCGTCACACGTGCACGCACACACTGGAGTCCAAAGCTCGCTTTCATCGTGCATTACAAATTGAGGGGCCACCTTTAATTCCACTCCTCCACCTGTTCTCCCTCGTCCTTCTCGTCCTGTTCGTCCCGCTCCTTCTTTGTATTGCAACTGCCAAGTGCCTGGCACTTCTCCACTAACGAATTAAAAGACGAGAGGGGGACACAAGGGGAATTAGAGCGGGAGTCATGCGAATGCAAAGCACGTAAAAAAAAACTCGAAAAAATATTAACAAACAAGCCAGCTAAGTTGGCTTTGAAAACCGAAGCTTAACATACCTTAGCTGATTGTTCAAAATTTCTAGAGGATTACAGCTTATGGAATTCCAAATGGCTTAGAGCCACGAACATAATCACAACATATGAAACGTTGGAAAAAAAGATATACAGGTTTTAGTTAAGGGTAAAGGTTCTGTGTAACAGTAAAATCAGTACCCCTACTACTTTTACCATTGGTTATAGATAAAATTTTCATAGGTTTAATAAACAGCTTAAATGTATTTATTTATGTGGTAAAAAGTCCATTCAACACTTCACATCTTAATTCTTTTCATTCTTAATGTGTCATTTGTGGAGAAGCGTAATATTACCCTGCAGTATTCATTTTTTGTCGCCACAAAGATATCAATTTGAACGAATTACACCTTACGTAAGAGTATAAGGACACACACACACAACGATGTTCAGCATTATTATTTTGCTTGCGCTTGTTACGTACATTCATACTATACCGTTGTTATTGTAGTTGTTCGCCTTTGTTGTTGCTGCCGCTGCTGTTTCTTTTCTGTATTATTATTATTTTACGCGCATGCATAAATTCCAACGAGAAGCGAACCGAGTGCAGTAAAGAAGGAACAAATGTTGTTTGTTTGCCTTATTATTGCAGTGGAATGGCCGCGGGTAACGAGGGGGCTGGGGGGTTGGGGGGTGGAGAATGGGGCATGAAGGTGGGTAGGTGTGTGTTATTGCAACAGTAAACACACAAAGCAAACAAAAACAAAGACATAAAAGTTGAAATTAAAGTAAAACGGCAGAGGGAATGAGAGGAAAAACACTGTGACTGCTTGTTAGTCCGACAAACCGGAAGTGACTCACACACACACACACACTCATACATCATGAACTTCTAACGGAAGATTCAAGTGCAGCGCCGCTTTTGTTCTCCTTTTGCGCCCTTTTTTTATTTATGTACATATACTTGGCCAAAAGAGAAAATAAACGCTTATGGCTGAAAGTATGGTAAACTAAACATTTCCCAAATTCTCGCCCTTTTTAACACACCACTTATATCGCCCTAATTTGTAAATATTTCCGATTTGTGGTGGATATATATTTGAAAATTTGTAAATTTAATTTGCATTCGCTAAACCATCATAAATTCCGGCTAGGAGGCAGGCAACATAATTGCCAGTCGAGATAATTGAGTGGTCTCCAGAAGCGGGGAGTCGAGGGCTTTGAACAGTGTTTGGGTTGCCCTGCTGGGCCCATTAAAACGCCGTTAGTTTTCAATTTTCCCGAACAGGAATTCGATGCGCTCATTAGCATCGAGTGACCCTTGGCCAGCGACCAATTGGAAGCGCCCTCTTAACAAGGAGATTAATGGCCAAAGTGAGATCCTATTCACGCCAGGATAGGGGCTCCATCCTGTTCCATTTGAAATAGGCGCTTTTAGCATCTAACTCCTGGTGTTTCAGTTCCTTTTCAAGCTGACCAGCCATCAGTTTTCCACAGCCATTTGCCCCAATTTAGTCTGCACAGCTTAAATTTCAAAACAACGTTAGTCGTAAATAGTCCTAATTGGTTTTACAACATTTTTGTGTGCACGCTGTTACAATGATTGATTTGTTAAACTTTATTGTGTGTCTGTAATTTCAGTATCATTTTGTGGCATTCAGTCATTTAATTTATAGGTACTAAGAGTGAAACCTATTATCGGTTTCTTATGGACTAATTAAATATTGAGCATCTGCTCTTTTAGTGCGGTTGAATAAAAAGCATACATATGATCAAATTAAAACTGGGCTCGCAGTCTTAGTTAAGTATTTTGGACCAGGCTTAAAGATTTTACGCAGCACCCGCTATAAAGATATACACCCACTCATAAACACACACACACACACTTGTTCGCACTAAACAAATAGCAATAAAAGCCGAAAAATAATCAGGTTTACGGCTGCTGCTCCAGTTTTTGCTCCTGCTGCGGTTGGATGACTGCCGATGCCCGCCTTGGTGCCCTTCAGGCGTTTATTTCTGCTTCCGACGCCGAAAAGTTTGCCACTAAACAGAAATTACCCATACGCCGCGTGGGCCGATGATTGAGATGGGGGTGGGAAAGCTGGGAAGAGAGATGCTCCCCACCCGTTGAGGTGTGGCACAGAGCTCCGTGTTTCATAAGCACATAAATCTGCAACTTGTGGAGCATAAATAAGCTGTCCGTTCAGCGGAAAGTGGAAAGTGGGCAGAGCCGTGGCTCTGGATAGTCCGGCATCTGTAGAAAACTGCGAGGCTCTCTGCGGCATGTGCGCCAATTTAAAATGCATTAGCAGCCAATAAACCATTTTGCTACGGCACACAACCTAAGAATACCAATGGTCAAGCCAATGATTTCTAAACTCAATACTTATGATGCTAAAATGATTAGTTTCGAAATGACTTTTGACCAGGATGTCTTTATATCTGGGGTTGCCTGTTGAAAAAGAATGGTGGTTGGTAGTTTCAGAATCAATAAAATATATACATAATCTTCTGTCATGAATAATATATCTGAACTTAAAAACAATATTATATCCCCTTTTAAATGAATATAACATCGTATTAAATACACCTTTATTTAATAGAGATTGTTGTGTTTTTTTATTACAGATTAAAACTACCAGCGACATGCCACCCACCGAACTGAGGAGACTTACCCTGGCCGTGGTCATCGCGACCATTGGCCTGGCTCTTGGAGCCGGAGGAGTCCTGGGCGAGAGCTCGTCCAGCTGCGGACCCAACTTCCCAGCGGCTTGCAGTTGCGGCACGGAGTTGTACGAGAGCGATATGCAGTACGTGGTGAACTGCACGAACGCCGGACTGCGCAACACCAGTGTGCTGGAGTTCATGCCCGAGCAGGTGGAGGTGCTCATCTTCACGGGCAACCGCATCACCGAACTGCCGTGGAACGTCTTCGGCAGCATCAACGACTACAAGCAGCTGCGCATCGTGGACATGAGCAGCAACCACATCCGCGAGATCCGCGGCAAGAGCTACCACCATGTGCCGCGTGTGGAGCGCCTGATCCTCAATCACAACAACTTGAGCATTTCGCGGTTCGACGACGAGGTGAATCACCATCATCCGCGCGTCTTCTCGAACTTCATCAACCTGCAGAGTCTGCATCTAACCGACGCCTTCGAGGACAACAGCTCGCCGCAGCTGAGCGAGGATCTGCACGACATCTTCGTGAACAGCCAGCTGGTGAAGCTGCAGAAACTGCATCTGGAGCAGAACGAGATCACGCACTTCAAGGATCGCAATGTCTTCTGCGATTTGCCTTCGCTGCGGGATCTTCATTTGGGGGACAACGAGCTGAGGGACTTGAACTTCGAGGTGCGCTGCCTGAACAACCTGCGCTTCCTCGACTTGGAGCGCAATAAGTTTGGCTTTGTGAAGCCCACCGATTTGCGTGTCCTTAACGAACTGGAGGAGCGTCCCAATCGCACGGCCAACTTGATTGTGGACTTTAACCTCAACCCCTTTGTTTGCGATTGCCGCATTGCGCCCTTCCGCACGTGGATACCCAACACCAAGGTGACCGTGCGCAACAAGGACAGCTTGATGTGCTTCCACACGCCGGAACATGTGGATCCGTCGCCCATCCACCTCCTGCAAATGGACATGGGTCAGTGTGCGGAGGCCATTGCCGCCGCTGCCACCATCCTGAATACCGCCGAAGAGGAGCAGCGCTACGGAGGCGCCGAGGCGTCCATCCAGCCGCAGGCTCACATCAGCGGACACACGGCCACGCTGATCTTCCTGCTGATCGTGCTCAGCATGATCCTGCTCGGTCTTCTGGTGGCCCTCGTCTACGTCAGTCGGGATAAGTTGAAGTACATGATCACGCCCGTGTTCGATAACGTGGCCAAAAAGGTGCAGTACACATCGATCAAGGACGAGGACTGCCCGGAAGTGCACGTTTAGGAGCTGCACATCAACACTTCACTCACAGGATCAACACGAAAAGGAAGAGGAAGGGGAATGAGGCCCGGTTTTAAATATCAAATCCGCTCTAAAGTAACGCCTTTGGAATTCATACAATTTGTTCAAATCCACAAGAGTTCCTGCCATTTCAATTTGCTGAAGATCTAAGCGTTTTTTTTACCAAAATTTAATTTTCTAAGAAATGTAAAACAGCTACAGTCTTTTTAAAATTACACCAATAAGGCATGTGAAAAAAGAAAGTTTGATCGGAATGAAATCCACAACCGGGCCCAAAGCCTCGATTTTGTTTTTGCCATTCGCGTTACGCAAAACGTGTGCCATTCACACCAGAAAGGGATAAAAAGGAGGAAACAATTGGATCATATTAAAGTCTTAATCAATATCAGGACTTCAACCTCTTGTTTCATAGTACTTAAGCCAATTGTTGCATTTAACAGCGGATGGAATGTGGCCACAAGAAATACTGCAACACAAAACCACATAACACAGACAACACAAACAATTTCGTTAGTTTTAGCGGTTTTCTATCTTAACCTTAAGTGAGTTATTTGTTCTATGATTTCCACACAAAGGAATCGTACGAGGGGAGAAGGCAAAGCGGGCCTGTAACAACCGATTTGACCACACATATATAGTGACATATATATATATAGAAACAGACACATATATATACATGCATATATCGTAACAAACACTTTAGTGTTATCTGTGATTTAAGTTTAGTAGCTTTACTTTGTTGAAACTCTGCAGAACGAACATTTAAAATCGAAATTGGAAAAAATAAAACAAACTTTAATTCTTTTCTAACATAACAGATAATTCTACACGTAATGAAAAAATGTTTCGATGCTTAATATGTTATTAATCAATTATTTTGTCAATTATACTAGATATACGATAATTTCATCCTTGATTAACTACCAATAACAAGCATTTTTTATAAATAAACTTTTGAAAAATGAACCTAAGTGTTTTTTTTTTTTGTTGAATGCTTAGGAATTTTAAGGGGTCCCACCAATCTTAAGTTGAAATTATTTAAATAACAACGTTTTTAATAAACATGAAAATAAACTTTTAATGAAAAAAAGTTCGCGCCAACTTTTTTTCGAATTCAAATTTCGATACTTTCCCATTATCGATGTGGCAGATTGTGTGTAGCGCGGTTTTATTGGCAGCCCTGGTAAAATACATCGATAACAGTTTGATGAGATTTCCAACACTACGTATCCCCCGTGTAAAATAATAATAAACTTATTGTTTATTTTGTGAGTTACGGTTAATATCTTAATTTTAAGGTGTTTTAAAAGTATTTGAATATATATTTATTTATACTTCCTATGCCTGCACTTTTCGTATCGTTTGTAATTTAGAGTCAGGGTTAATGTTGGCAACTAAAAAATGATCGTTGGATTTCCTTTCGATCAAAACGTTATTAGTTTAGTTTAAAATATGAAAACAATATTTTTACAGATCAGCTGGCATTGTTATTATTTATTGCAGCTGTTTTTACTGTGAATTCTCGTTCTTTCCCAGTTTGGCAGTATATCCCTTCCACGTAAATATTTGTTTATTTGCATATATGGTATGCAAGTGTGTGTAAGCGCTTTAAACAAAACCGTATTCGCATATAGATATTCCGCTAGTCTAATCAGAATTCCGAGGCGTTATGCAACGTCATCGCGCATTGCAGGGCTCCAGAATTTAACTCCAACGATTGCATTTAACCAGTGATATTTCCTTATTGTTACATTTAAGATCAGACATAAAACACACAGACAGGCAAAGTGCGTGCTTATCGCCCAATAAACCAACACGCGGTGATAAGGCGAAAGGGAGCAGTCATTCACTAAAGTCACCTTCTTACAGATGCTACGCAGCTGCCGAATAACCCTCTCGGCCGCCAAGAGAAGTATCCGGGATCAGTTCCAGTTGCAAGTCATTCGCCACCAACAAACCGCCAGCAGCATGGACAAATTCGATCTGCCCAAAAGATTGCAGGGCAGCACGCCCAGCGTCTGGAACGAGTACATTGCCCTGGCCATGCAGTACAAGCCATTGAACCTGGGCCAGGGATTTCCTGATGATGCCGCTCCGGAATACGTCACCCATTCATTGGCGGATATTTCCAAGGACGAGAATCCGCTCCTGCATCAGTACACCCGAGGCTACGGCCACGTCCGCCTGGTCAATGCCCTTTCAAAGCTGTACAGCGGTTTGGTCGGCAAGGAGCTAAATCCCCTCACCGATATTCTGATTACTTCCGGTGCGTACGAGGCTCTCTACTCCACCATAATGGGACATGTGGACGTGGGCGATGAGGTGATCATCATAGAACCCTTTTTCGATTGTTACGAGCCAATGGTTAAGATGGCTGGTGGAGTGGCCCGCTTTGTGCCCCTGAAGCCGGTAAAGAATAACTTATTATTCCAGAGCCATTTTACCTACTTATTTGCTCAATTTACAGCGCAAGACAGAGGGTACAATCAGCTCTGCTGACTGGGTTCTTGACGACGCCGAATTCGAGAGTCTTTTCAACTCGAAAACCAAAATGATCATCCTGAACACACCCCACAATCCCATCGGAAAGGTCTTCAACCGCCAGGAGCTGGAGAGGATAGCTGAGCTGTGCTGCAAGTGGAACGTGCTGTGTGTCTCGGACGAGGTTTATGAGTGGCTGGTTTTCGACGGAGCGGAGCACATCCGCATATGCACGCTTCCGGGCATGTGGGACCGCACCATTACTTTGGGTTCGGCAGGGAAGACCTTCTCTGTGACTGGCTGGAAAATCGGATGGGCCTACGGACCCGCTCAGTTGATCCGCAACCTGCAGATGGTGCACCAGAACTCGGTCTACACCTGTCCGACGCCCCTGCAGGAGGGAGTGGCGCGTAGTTTCGAAGTGGAACTGGCTCGTCTGGGTCAACCGGAAAGCTACTTCCTTAGCCTGCCGCGGGAGCTGAAGGAGAAGCGGGACTATATGGCCAAGTTCCTTTCCGAAGCCGGCATGCGTCCCACCATTCCAGAGGGCGGCTACTTTATGCTGGCAGACTGGACCCCTCTTTCGAGCAAAGTAGATTTGAGTTCAGAGCCGGACAAGCACAGGGACTACAAATTTACCAAGTGGATGACGAAGAACATGGGCCTGCAGGGCATTCCGCCCAGCGCCTTTTACAGCGAACCCAATAAGCATTTTGGCGAAGACTTTGTGCGCTACTGCTTCATCAAGAAGCAGGAGAACCTGGACAAGGCGGCCGAACTGCTCGCCAAGTGGAAATAGTCGCCGGACAATAAACGAATTTGATTTAAATGCGTTGTTTATCTCTGGCGGAATGCAGTTCCCTAACCTGGGCGTTATGTAACCGCAATGGAAACAACCGAGTGCTGGTGTGGTAGCCTTACTCCAATCTCCATTTATTAGTAATCCAACAACATGTTCATCCGCACCATACAATGGATAGGTAACTAGTGTCGCTGTGGGTTTCTGTTGTGTGTTGTGTATTTAAACTAATCCTGGCAGGGCACTCCGCTTAGGCATCGTACACGGACTTCAGGGCCAACTCGGGCTTGTCGTAGCCCAGCTCCTCGAGGGTGGGGATGCCCAGCTCCTGCAGGGTGGGAGTAATCTTCTCCAGCAAGTAGGGGTAGAGGGTGGCCTTCTGGTCGCCGCACTTGTCCTTGCATCCCTCCAGCCACCTGATGGCCAAAGCGATGTCGTTGACGCGGCGGGTGGCCCGCAGACCGGCCTCAATTACCTTGGGGCTGGGCACCAGATCCATGCCCAACAGATCGTTCATGCCCTTGCGGATCTCCCAGCCGTCGATTCCCTCGCGGCTGAAGTACTTCTCGTAGCGCTTGTCGAACTCCTCAGCCGATTCCTCAGCTCCGTGAGCAAAGCGCACGGCAGCGACGCGCGACGATGTGCCGACAAGGTTGCCGCGGAGGGCATTTGCCAAATTACGGGCCGTGATGCGCAACATGGCTGTGTTTTAGGGCAGAAAAATGCTGCTAAATTGCAAAAATTTGGTTAAGTAACAGTTCGACTCACTTTTCTTCTTCTTGCTACTTTTCAGCGAGAGGGCGATGGAGCAGTGTTGTAAATTGTGAATTTTCCCCCAAAGGCTCTAGGCCAACCTCGACCAAAACTTAGCCATTAACCCAGTGAAACATTGGTTGGAGGCCCAGATTAAATTCAGAATGAAATGTAAAGTACACATTGCACTAAGTAGTGATAAATAATTAAATTAAATAAATATTAATGTATAATTTTTAGAGTGTTTCAATACATTTGTTGATTCTTATTTTCAAAAAGGCAAACATCAACCGTTAATACGAGAAAACCAAATAACTTTCAAATTAATCAAGATAGGGAGCTAACTTCGACCAGCCGATTGTTTCGACGATTGCTCATATGATATATAAAATTCAAAAGTCTTAAAATGATCAAAGACAACGAGCTATTCGAAATAGCCCTCTGCAAAGGTATAAAAATAAGAACTGTGAATATCAAATATTTAGGTATCACGTGAAAACTATCGTCCAAATATATCGCAGATGATCTTTTTAGAGACTTTCTAGAACAGGGGTAGTCGGCTGTGAAATTTGATTAATCGCTTAAGTTACCATCTCTAACTGTTTTATCATCGCAAACTCCTTGACGCGTGCTCTATCCAAGCAAGCTCTCTGAAAAATCGTGCAATAAAGCCGATCCAAATAAAGTATAGAATATATAGCGAGTTGTAAAAGTGCAGAATAAGGTAATACCACCGATCTTTTATCAAGCGCGGATATAGGGAACGTAAATATTGCGTGTCAGCCATGTAAAATGTCATGTGCCTTTTAGGGGTGAGAAGAAATCAAAATGGCGTACGCTGTGCAAAAAAAAAGAAAAGCAGCAAGCGTCGTAGCAGAAAATCACCGGTTGAAAAAAGCGCATTAAAACAGTATACATTACTCAGAACTAGTAAATCTATCAAAAATACCATTTTCCCTACTCACATCTTTAATATCTAATACAAACGGATTGTCCCGATTCGCAGACAAAGAACGAGTGAAAAATGGCAAACGCAGACGGGCAATTCAACTACGGCCAGCAGGGCAACGGCGATAATTTCAACGACGACAGCAACCAGCAGGATGACGAAGACCAGTTTGACGAAAACCCCAACGTGAAGATCGATAACGTTGACGAAAGCCCCAAGTTCGTCCGTCTGCGCGGTCTTCCGTGGTCCGCCACCCACAAGGAGATCCTCGATTTCCTGGAGAACGTGAACGTTACCAACGGTTCGGCGGGCATTCACCTGGTCACCAGTCGAGTCGATGGCAAGAACACTGGCGAGGCCTACGTGGAGGTTGCCAGCCAGGAGGACGTCGAGGAGGCGCGCAAGCTGAACAAGGCCAGCATGGGCCACCGCTACATTGAGGGTTTGTATCTTCCACTCACACAGGAGATGACTGTACCTAGTATAAGCCATGACAGAAGTGCTGCCAATTATAGGCCTACATTTTTTTTCGCTTATTTATGTGTGAATTTTATTTATAGACTTGTTAACCTGTCCACCTTTTTTATAATATGTTATAGGTAATTAAGCTAATAATTATATTCTTTCTTTCCCCAGTTTTCACTGCTACTCCCAAGGAGGCTAAGGAAGCCATGCGAAAAATCAGCGGTCACGGCACTGCCTTCGTTGTGAAGCTTCGGGGTCTGCCATATGCCGTCACTGAGCAGCAGATCGAGGAGTTCTTCTCGGGTGAGTGCCCATAATGTCTCACTTACTCATGTTAGTAGGCACAAGGAGCAAAGACAGTGGTTGACCGCATGTATTTCTTTTTGCACTTCGTTGAGAAATGGCCTACGGTCCCTTTTCATCTACACTTTTCATACCAATTACACATGCTCATGCAGTATATATTTTCGGGCATCGAATTGCAGTCCCTTGCATTTGTGTAACGGGTTCGGCGGTCTACGCAGCTCCTTCCTAAGTCAACGGCTGACACTTGACGCGGTCACGTCCGCTTGTCCGATAAATCATTACTCTTACTTTTCATTGGTCACATAACCCAGTTTGCTTGGGTAAACAGCGATCATTATTCACTCCCCTTCACACCTGATATTTACACGTCTACGAATTACAGGAACTGAGTTTTGTAATACATGGTGGTCGGGGAACCTCGACAACATTCCCATCTTGATTGCAGATCGGGTTTCGACTGCATTACACTTTTTATTTAAGCAACTTGCTAATTCCGTGAGCCTGCAAAAGTTCTGCGATGCCAGAACTAAAATATAACATTTATCAACCTCTGTATTTCTGTTTCTCTATCTAAGCTTAACCTTGCATAATGTATATATATATGAACTCTATATATTTGTATAAATCTTTGTTGGTTATCGTCATGGGCAGGGTTGGAAATCAAAACGGATCGGGAGGGCATACTTTTTGTTATGGACAGAAGGGGTCGTGCAACTGGGGAAGCTTTTGTTCAGTTCGAAAGCCAGGACGACACTGAGCAAGCCTTGGGCCGAAATCGGGAAAAAATTGGGCACAGGTGGGTTTCTAATTCATCATATCTTCTACAACAAAACAGCTGAAATTGAAACATAAGTGGTAATCAATTGTTAACTTGTTGAAACACACAAGGCAAAATACAACACCAATTTCTATAGATTATTCACTAAATAAAAAACTATTTTATCATAAATAATTTCTATTTCAGTCATCGACAAACCAATTAGCAACAATTTCCCATAGCTACGGGTCTGGTGGGGCTCTTAAAACTTGTAAAAGCGCCAGCATGTGCTTATCTAACAATAATAAATCATTAAACAGTGTTACTTTCATTAGTTCTTTAACAGATATACTTTCAATTGTTTTATTTAAATTTACGTTTTATATCGCGACTCAAAAGAAAACACCACCGACCCTAGCATATTTCAACTACAACTATTAAAGTGAATGTGTTCTCTGCTTTTATCCATGTAGGTATATTGAGATATTCCGCAGTTCAATTGCTGAGATGAAAAGGGCCACAGGTGCTGGCGGTGGCGTCGGAGGACGCCCAGGTCCATATGATATACGTGATCGTGGAGCAAATCGTGGAGGCAACGATTTCGGCGGAGGGCGCAACGGTAAGGTTATTGATTATTAATAGTATTCACATATAAAATATTATTTTTATTTAAAGATTGGGGCAACAATGGCAACTTCGGTGTTGGTGCCAACAACATGCTGGGCTTCAACAATCTGCCAAGCCTTATGAACTCCGGCAACTTTGGAAACAACCAAGGCAACAGCGGCAACTTCGGAAACAACTCTGGACCGAGCAATTTCGGCAACTTTGGTGGCGGAAACAACGGTGGAGGTGGAAACTCCGGCAACTTCGGAAACAACGGCGGTGGCAACAGCGGAAACTTTGGTAACTTCGGCAACAACGGAGGCGGAAACTTCGGCGGCAACAACAACGGCGGCGGCGGCTTCAACAGTGGAAACAATTTTGATTCCTCTGGCGGCAATAATTTCGGCAACAATGGAGGTTCCAATTTCGGCGGCAACAATGGCGGAGGCTTCAATAACAGCGGCAACTTCGGATCATCCTCCGGCGGCGGCAACTTTGGCCCGATCGGCGGTGGTCGCAACAACAATAGCGGCAACTTTGGAAACTCTGGGTTCGGTAACTTCGGTGGAAACAACAATAACGGAAACGGCGGCTCGAACTTCGGAGGAGGCAACAACAATGGTGGTGGCTTCAACAATGGCGGTGGCAACTTTGGCGGCGGCAACTCTCTTGGAGGAGGCGGCAACTTTGGGCCCATTGGCGGAGGACGGGGCAATGATGCCGAGCATTACACAATCCATATGCGCGGACTGCCGTACACCTCATTCGAAAATGACGTCTTTAAGGTAGGTTTAGATTACCAGAATAGAAGAAAAGTAAAGTTTGGATTTCAATTTAACTTTACCTATCAATTTCTAGTTCTTCGAGCCCATTCGACCCGCTAATGTGCGCATCAACTACAACAAGAAGGGTCTGCACAGTGGAACTGCCGATGCTTACTTCGACACCTACGAGGATTCCCAAGTGGCCATGAAGCGCCATCGAGAGAAGATGGGCTCCCGGTACATTGAGCTGTTCTACGACGGAAAGACCCGAGGTGGAAGCAATGGGAACAACGGTGGCGGCAATGGAGGTGGTAACGGCGGGGGCATGGCCATGGGTAACAATGGGGGCGGCGGCAACTTTTCGCGACGCATCTGAAGCACTTCCATAGTTCGATTACATTGAAATTAATGTAGATGCAAGTATTTGATAATATTATGATGAAGGCGGTACTCTAAACCGCCAAGGCCCTTTTACATCCACGTAAACCACTTAACTATCGAACAGATTTCAGACGGAAACAATTGGTTAGGCTTGAAAACCTCTTTTCTGATTGTAAGCTATAATGTATCAAGAATAAAGAGCACTTTTTTATTTAAGTACTTTATTCTGTAGAAATTTTAATCCTAATATTTAAGTTCCAAATTTTATTTTAGGTTTTTCTAAAATAAACTTTTGTTTTTAAATGAAAATTAAGGGCTGAGTTTTCTTATTGGTATCCATTAAAATTTGAACAGGGTTGAACATTTTGAAGGGGAAAATTAAATTATCTTATTTAGCTAAGTGTACAGGTGCTTTAAACCATGGATATTGTCAGCTCACAGCAGTTGTCAGTGTAAATACAAAAAGTAAGTTATGAATTGCATAAACATATTTGCTTTTCGAGCAATAGCGGAACACATGCAATGATGTAACAATAGAGCATGTTTTCCGCATCAATTGACAGTGTGGGAAAAATATTTATGAAATTCTCTGTTAAACAAATAAGGAAATTTGTTACCTTGATAAACCAATGAGAAGCATGCATAAATAATTTATCTTAAGTCGCAAATTTGAAAATATTTTTCTCTACTAAAATAAATATCCCTTAAATTGTTAGACTTTACCCGAGTTATAGATATCTTCCTTACGATTACCAAATCTGGGGAGCCACAAAATCTATGGGTTTCACATTTCACTTTCTTTAATACACAGTTGACAGCTCAGTATCTCTGTGGCGATAGATAACGACCTGTCAATAAATTTATACGTCTATTTTGATCTAATGATCATTTCTCATAATTGTACCAATAAACTGAATGCTGAAAATAGATAACGTACGATACATATTACGTACTAGCTTTGCTGTGGGTTATGAGATCTCGTAAAGTAAAGGAGACGTATTTAAATGTACTTATGACCAAAAGAGGAATTTAGGCACACGGCAGCTTCAAAGTTACTTCACCTTTTTTGACAGGCGCTGTGACACAGCTTTTCTTTTTGCGATAAATGTTTACTTAATTACGGCTTTTTCCTTTTAAGGTGCAGATACAGAAATTATATCATGCTAATCACTTGAATCTATTTGATGGGCCTTGATGCGCGTGTCAGCAACAACAAAAATAACTGCCAATTTGACAGGCAAATAAAATAATTTCAATTTAATTTGTAAGCAAAAATTGCTGGCTTTTTTGAGGGTAAAATAATTGTTTCTCGACCACCTTATTAACTTTATTTGTATTCAACCACCTAAAAAAAACCCTCGCGAGAAATATTAAAGCATTCTATTGTACTTTTTATCGCCTCTATTCATAAATGGCTGTTACTGAAATGAAATGAAATGTTACTGTTTATTTTCGTACGTTCCCGTCATAATTTCCACCCATCTATAGTGTCTATGCATATAGCCAGGTGCTAATGGATCAACCACGTTCGTTGATTTGTTTATTGCGGGGCAGATTTTAATTTTACGCAACAAGCGTACAGATGCCGGCTTAATAGAAGTAGAAAATTCGGATTACAGGGGAGAACAAGAACTAGTTAGACGAGTTTAATTTGTTTTGAATAAAAAATTCCCCTGATCTGCGGTTTCATAAAAACCTCTAGAGAATTTCAGTTGGGTTTGCAAATTATTGGGAAAATACATCTGATGAAAGAGATTATTTTAAAATAATTACTAGCATAGTTTAAAAATAATTAAAGTGTGCCAAGGACTAGGATTGTAACCCTCAACATTTTTATTACTTGCAAAAAATCTCTGGCTTGTGATGTTATTTAAAAATATTTATTTAAGCTTGTTATATATTTTTGTTGTGGGTAAAGTTTAAAGAGCGTCCAATCTTGAAGAATTTTTACAACACCCAACAAATCCCATTCATAAACGCGCCGAAATTTTAATCTAGAGACTCCCTCACTCAGATTTTTATTTCGGCCCATAAAGAGCTAGTTTGAGATAAGCGTTTCGAATCGAAATCGTAACAAGCTCCCGGTTTCACTCTCTTTTTTTAACTGTTTTGTTTTTTTGGTAGCGTGCCGAACGGAATGCTAATTTTCCACCAAATTAAGTCAATCGGTTTGGGGATATTCTGGAGAGCGTTCGGAAGTGGCGGTATCCCAGGCTGATCAGCTGATCAATGCGAGCGAGCGAATATGGAAATACTGTAACTATATGGACGTCATTAATCTTGGCCGAGACCGCGAGACTGCGGGTGATAAGCAGTGGCTCCAACACCACCATTCCACCAGCTATTCGGCGAGAATGAGCAGCGGTCGCAGCGCCAGCGACGACGACCAGTCAATGCCAGAGCGCGAAGCGGTCGCGTTGACATCGGTAGCGCTGCTCTCCAATAATAATTCCCCAATACAATAATATTATTATTGTAATTCCCCACTCCGGCCAACCCGAGCTAGAATATCGACCATGCTAATTGCCGTGCTGTGATACGCGATTCGGTTCCGATGAAACGCCAGCAAACATCAAAGTTAAACACATCGTCAAAATCAAACATCAGGCCAAAAAGTGAGTGCTATCAATCCCGGCCGTGTCTTGGCCACTTGGCATGTGAGACCTGGCGATCGTAACAACAATAACTAAGGCTGAATAAAAAGCCAAACACGCGCCACAGGTGTGAGCAGGTGGAGCTCGAAAGGTGACGGGCGGTGTATTCGGTGTTCTCATTATTCCCATTCGCATTCGTGACGTTTTCGTTTTGCATCTTTGCGCCGTTTTAATTGATTTTATAACGAGTACATAAGCCCGTGTTACTACAGTAAATATATACATCGAAATGCAAATATTTACAACCGCATTCAGATATCTGTTGATCGCCGCAGTGCGGAATATTTCGATGATAAAAGGGTGACCGAAATCCATTGTCATATAGTACAAATTCTCTACAAGCAATACTGTTGTTTAGCGCATTACTTCCTGGCCTTTGTTGTGTTTGCAAAAATAATTTAAGTATATTTTTGGCAAGCTTTGAGTTTTTTTCACGGAATTGGAATTATATTTTCCCTGGTGTATTTTTAACACTCATCAACCGTTGAGCACTGCATTTGAGAATCTAGAGTGTGCACTTGTAAATGGTAATTCCTTGCAGCTTAAGTTAAAGGGTCTGGCTTAAAATCCCATTATGAGTATTCCAAAACTTGAGCAGGCAATCTGGGTCGCCAAATTCCGCTTTCAACAAGATTTGTCTTCCCCATTTAGAGTATAAGGTTTCTCCTTATCTGCTAGAACAAATATGTGCACTCATGTTCATATATTTTTCAAGTGCTCTGCGAAATCCGTGCCGTTATGGCCTGACTCAGATTTGCCATTAATAAAGTATGTTAGCTATGTGGAGCACTTTTTAAACTATTGACATGTATTTATAATTCAATAAAAAAGTGTGCGGGAATTGTTTCCCTTTAAAAGTGTTCCGAAGAAATTCCAACCACTTACTTAATTAAAAAGCTCTGAAAGCAAATTAATAGCCCTAATTAGTTTACCATCAACAGCCCCAGTCAACAAATCCAATCTAAAAATCACGAAGCAATTAAATAATTTGAGACCCATTTAAATTCGTCATGAATATCATCTGGTTTTTAGCAGATCAATATAGCAACAAAATGAAATCAGGGAAAATAATCGAAATGTATATGCAAAGTTATTTAAATGTTTTTTATTCGACAAGTAAAAGCAAAAATCTGCGTCGAAGCCTGATAAATCCACTTTTTACTTGATATTGTGGATTTAAGGGCTCCTTCCAGATGGCAATAGACGATCGTTGGGGGAATACGAATTCGCAAGCCCATAAATTTGCCAAAACGGGCGCCATAATAGTGACAAAAGATTAAAATAATGTAATAAATCTTTGAAGTTTAAAAGTTGTTCATAGAGGGTTGGTATTTAAAGGAAATATTAGCATCATAAATTATTCCGCCATAATCCACTTTGCGGTAGAATAATTCCTGCACATTGCTCTAGTATTTGGTGTCAGGTTTCCTCAATGATAAGGCTATACTCGTATAGTGGGGTCTATCGCTCAGTCAGAGGTTTGTGCAAATCAAAACAAACATTGAAATTCTATACTGTAGATGGTTCCAGTTTGTAGGTTTGGTGTAAGATTTATTTCCCTAACGATGAAAGTAAATGTAAGAAGGGTTGAACTGAATATTCTGTGACTTAAATAAGGTATTATATTATAGTTAAAATGTCTTGATTTTTATAAGTTATCCTTGAATGTTTAAATAAGTATTTAAATTGTTAGATAAAAATTCCGTTTTAAAAATGTTCAAAGACAAAAGATAAGCTGTGCTGTGTTTTATCAGTTCTGTATCGTATCGCTTTGAATTAACCGCTGTTGTTATTTACCTGCTCACTACCTTGTTATACACCTGTAATTATTTTGGCCGTTTTTGCGCCACTTATCAGTTGAGATGCTTGCATTGCTTGTTAGGCATACACACGCTCCCATGGAAAATTCATTAGCTGATACGCCGCTCTCAGCCCGTTATTTGCATTTGTTTACACTTTTTATATATGGACCTACGAGTATAATATAATATATTCCGGATTCGTTGCAGATCGTCGGCACGCCTTGGCAACACACTCACTTTGATAAGGAGATAATTAAAGTGTAATACATTTCGCTGAACTGCCTTTCGTCGGGGTCGTCGCTTCGGCCGGTGTTAATTAAGCCTTCACACAGTTAAGTGTGCCACTTGAAATGTCCGCTCGGAACACCAATAAACCTCTTAAGCGCTGCCTTATCGCCAACAGCCGGATTCGGCCAACGGAGTAGACAAAAGTTAAAAGTGATCTCACAGATAACGTCGTCGAGGAGCTGAATCAGAATCAGAATCGGATTCGGATTCGGATTCAATATCAGTAGCAGCAGAAGCCGAAGCAGCAGCAGAACCAGTAGCAGTAGCAGCAGCAGTAGAAGTTTCCCAGGCAGCAGCTATAAAAGCCAGCAGCATATTCATAAATAATCTTTGGCCGCGGCCACATCGGCGGATCAACTCCAATTCCAATTCCACTGAAAGCCATTGAGAGGAAGTCGGTCTTGTGACTTGGTCGTGTGGTGCAGCAGATAATTGAATTTAATGCACAAATGAGCTCAAGGAATTCGCATTCATA